TTTTTTTTGTTTCTTTTTTTCTCCCCCTCTCCCCCCCCCCCCCCCCCTTTGATCTTTTCAACTCAAATTTGCAAAGTGTAACAGAAGTGGAAGGTGGCAAATTCAGCCCTGTATCTTCCTACTCCCGATTCTCATTGTCGTAAGTTTATCTTAGAGAAGAAATGACTTAGTTATGACTTTGCTTGCCAATTCTAGCACAGGTTCTTTTGGCTACAAGTGCAGTAGAAGTTAGGTTATGGCCCTGGATAGCACCGTGTGAGAGACGTTAGGTGGTTACCTATGCTGCTCCTGCTCCATCAGTACATTAAAGCCTTCGCTGTCACTATGTTGTCACTTCCTCCCAGTTGTGCCAAACCAAGTCCTTAGGAGGCAGATTATTTCTCTCCTCCCTGTTCATATAACACCTTGGACGTGATACCTTCTCTTGAAAAATACTGACAATTTGTTTAATCCACAGCAAAGTTAGGAAAGATTATTGTTTTTGGAGAGAAAGCACGCTGGCTCAGAGCCCTCTGTTGATGTGGTTTCTCAGGGGCAGGGACTTGTACTGGAGGGCTATACTCAAACCTCAAAGCATTTGGAGAAGACATTTCAGTGTAGGTAGAAATGACTGGGGCATATGCGCAGAGCCCTGTTTTGTCTGTTGAACCTAAAGATAGCTGCTGCGTTTCGTTCCTCCTTTGGAGACTTGCATGCTTTGAAGGTCTTCCAAGTTACCACTTTTGCTTGATCCGTTTTTTAGCAGAGTCCTAGTCTTGGAAACTGGGTGGTGGTGGCAGTGGCAGCTCTAGTGGAAATTTAAATTAGCATCTCAAAACCTTGTGTTATATGTCTCTCTTGCCATTTAGCAGTGGATCCCCTACATTTGCCTCCAACCCCTCCCAGCAGCCATGGCAGTGACTCTGAAGGAGGGCAGAGCCCAGCTAGATCGCTCCCTCCTTCAAGTCCAATCCAACTACAAACCACAGCTAAAGTGACATCGCGCACAGCTTCAGCGCTCTCCAATTCCCCTCTCTTGACTGCACCACATGTAAGTTGGACTGGCTTTTTCCAGCATCTTATCTATCCATCTCTCTCTTTTTTCTTTTTTTCTTTTTTTCTTTTTTTCTTTTTTCTTTTTTTTCTTTTTTTTCTTTTAAAAAAAAACCCTACTGTTTTTGCTATGGATTTGCTAACTTTCTGTTGTTCTTTAGATGAACCCATCTCTGGTCAAAACTGCAGATCCAGTAATTCTTGCTCACTGGTCTGTTCTGTTCCCACAGAGAACAGCGTGTGCCTCTCCTCTCAGTTGAGACAGAGTTCAACAGTGTTATTAGGCTTCTCCCACCATGGATTGTGTTTTGCATTAGGGCCCAGCCCTGCTGGGTTAACCTGTCCCTGGTAGATCTGCATCTGTCCTCTTGTCGAAAGCAAGTGGTGATCTTTAGGGAGGGATTTTCAGTAGTGCTTCTCATTTGTCTCTTTCCCTGTTTGAGCCAAGGGAAGTTTTACTGTTGGCCTCAGTGTGTGCAGAGCTGGGCCAAGAACAACTGTTTTGAGGGAATCCTGTCCCAAAGGTTCAGTTTCTGAATGGAAGCTATCCATGCATTCCCAATTTCAAGAGGCTGCTGTGCTAGTAGGCAAAGTCCTCTCTGAAGTGCGAGATCTGCTGCCTCTCTTCCCTAACTCCCTTTTCTCTAGGGTTGTGTGCATTTACTGTTACATTATTTCATTTCTATGATACTTGCAGAAATTACAGGGGACTGGCCCACTCATCCTGACAGAGGAGGAGAAGAGGACGCTGATAGCAGAGGGGTACCCAATCCCTACCAAACTGCCCCTGACAAAAGCAGAGGAGAAAGTGCTGAAGAAAATCCGCAGGAAAATAAAGAACAAGGTAAATGTTAACTTTGCTGGGTAATTCCTACTCATCCTTCATTTAAAAAAATGCTGCAACAATTCTGCAGTAATGGTCTATGGTATTGTTGAGTGCTGTAAGATGTCTTTTAACAAAGTGTTTTTCTTTGTTCCTAAACACATCCATCAAATTGTCTGTCACTGTGACAGTGTGCCTCTGTCTAGGTACTTACCTGAACACATGAACAATAGAGTATTTAGCAAGCAGGGTATCAAGTTGCTGTTGCTTGGCTCCATTTTAAAAACAGTACAATCCTACCCTTACGGTAGGCAAAGACTTCTGTGTTCTTTCCTTGGTGATGAAGGTGTTCTTTTCCACTGTTTCACGTTTTAAAATCTGACTGTGTATTTCAGTGCCCTAGTCTTTTGATCACTGAATTCCATGACTTCTAAATGAATGGTTGATACCAAGGCTGTGAAATGTCCTACAAGCCTTTTCTTTCTTCCAACATGGGGAAGAGCTAGTGATAGGGAGGAAAGCATTTTTTTTTCAGACCTGGCCAGCTCACTTGTTCTAGAGCACATTAGCACATCTTTGAAGGTTAATGCATTCTGTTATTGGTTTTGCAGATAGAGGTGTAAATTTGCCTACGCTGAATTGGAATTTGGTCTTGTAATATATTTTTTAAAAATTTTTGAAAGTGACCTTGTGCATTTTATGTACCACTTTCATATAATCAGAGTCATTTATATTGGAAGGGATCTCTGGAGGTCCTTTGGTCCAACTCCTTGCTTTGAAAGCAGGGTCAGCTTAGATCAAGTTGCTCAGGGACTTGTCCAGTCACGTTTTACCATCTCAAAGGATGAAGAGTCCCCAGCATCTCTGGGCAACCTGTTCCCATATTAGGCCACTCTTGTGGTAAAAACAAATAAATAGAATTCTTAACGTCTAATTGGAATTTCCCTTGTTGCAACTTGTATTTGATGCCTCTTGCCATTTTGCTGTACACCTCTGAGAAGACTCTGACATCATCTTCACTACACAAGATAGTTGAAGACAGCAGTAGGATTCCCTCCTTAGCCTTCTCTTCTTAACTCTGAACAAACCCAGCTTTCTCTGCCTTTCCTGATATGTCATGTGCTCCAGCACGCTTATTATAGCAGTGGCTCTCCTCTGGACTTGCTTCTGTTCATCCGAAGTATTTATTTCAGAGCCACAAACTGTATGCTGTACTCAACTTGGTCTTGCAGGCACTGAAGAGAGGGGAAGAACCACTCCTCTCGACCTTCTAGCTACAATTTTGTTAATGTAGACCCGGATCTGGTTGGCCGCCTTTGCTGTAGGGGCACATTGCTGACTTATGTTTGACTTACTCATCAGGACCCCCAAGTCTTTTTCTACAAAGCTGCTTTCTAATGCATGAATGGGCTTTTCCTCTCCCAGATGCAGGGCATTGTCCTGGGACCATCTTTTAGTATTTGTCCTAGGATATTCTCTCCAGATGAATCTGATTTACTTTTCAAGGTTAGTTCTGTAAGAGCAGGGAATGATCTTTTTCCTACTACTGAGAGGAGCAGCCTTGCTTCAGGATGTGGAAGCAGACCAAGTCAGTGCTTTGCTTGCCAGGAATAGAAATGAGAACAGCACGGGGGCTTGAATCTAATAACGTCAGGGCTTTTTACCAGTTTATTAATTAATTTCTGATGGTTTTTTTCCTATGCAAATATTTGGTGTTTGTCTTCCTTTTTCCTTAGATTTCTGCCCAGGAAAGTAGAAGAAAAAAGAAAGAATACATGGACAGTCTGGAAAAAAAGTAAGCCAGCCTCCTTCCTGTTTCAAGTGGGCCAATAGCACTAGTTGCTGGACTGGGAAGGGATCCAGCTGTTGATGTTGGGACTGTTTCGTGCACAGAGTGCCAGCTGCCATCTCGTGGTTGTGACTGAGAAAAGGCCCTTCTTCTGGCTTCTGCTTGTACGTGTGCTGGGGTGCTGCATTCGTAACTGTGTCTACCTGCAACACGTTCCTAACGTGCAGACAAAGGCTTTAAACCTTAAATAAGGCAAGACCCATCTGCTATTGTAGCCTCCCCCTCATGCAACTCTGTTGGCCTAGTGGGTAGGCGGTGTCCAGGGAAAGGTAGATTCAGAGTGAATATATTCTGTCTTCTAGTGCAGATGGAGACAGAAATAGGAAGTGGGTGAGTCAAGACTGCCTGGGAAAATAAGCAGGACTCAGGAAAACAGCATGTGACCCATCAACTTCCCTTAGCAAGAAGGAGCCAGACTCCCAGTTAGTGATTTATATCCCAAATTAATCTTTCTTCCAAGGGACAAGTATTCTAGTATTTCTCTTATGCACTTCACCAGATGGATCTGTTAAACCCCTTGTACCATCTTTGGTGATATCCTTGATGTAATTTCTTCTTTTTCGTATTTCTTTATAGCCGAGTCTCGCTTTCTCAAAGTTACTCTTGCGAAATTCCACCCTATGCATACAGATAGCAAAGCTATTTCCCTTTACCTTTTTCCTTCTTGAAGCTATTCCAGATGGTCATGTTTGTCTTTTTAGGGGTCCCATATTTTCACTTGGACCTCTTATGTGGCATGTTATATGATAATCTCCTTTAGTTTAGGGGGTTTCCAGGGGCAGTGTGGAAATGAGCACTCTCTTGGGAATTAATCTCCTGGCTTCTTAGCCTCCATAAACTTGAAATTCAAGGATCTGATTTCAGAAGCATGGCATTTGCCAAATTGCTTGGTGCCTTATCCTAGCAATGAAGTGCAAAGGAACACCTTTGCACAAAATACTTGCTAACAACATAAATATAAAGCATGTTCTGTGACTTTTACAGTATCTGTCCCTTGTCCCGAGGCACAGAGAAAGTCTGAGCAGGGTCTTTGCTGCTATTTCAAGGGGCAAAAAGTAGTTACAGCCCATCCTGAATGAGCTGCACCTACAGGGATGTAGTTGAGCACTGTAAGCAGGTGATCCACAGCTAGTAGTACCTTTTGCAATGTCTTTTACACTATGAAGTATGATTAAAGATTATGACTAAAGTTCGTTGGTGTAACTTTTCATTAAATGTAGGCAAGATCGTAGAGCTCTCTGTGAAAGCAAGTTTGGTTTGTTTTACAATCTCCTTAATAAATGACTGATTTTTACATTCCTCTTTCTTTCCTTGTGCTGTGTCCAGAGTTGAGACCTGTTCAAATGAAAATAGTGAGCTGCGTAAGAAGGTTGAAGTCCTGGAGAATACTAACAGGTAAGGTATGAAGGGAATAAAACAAAACTGTAGCATGATATTACAGTGAAAAGTGAAAATCTCGAAGTTAAGAGATCAATTGAAACGTGAACAATAGCTGTATCTGATGTGGTTAATGTCAAAGAAAGATGAGGAAGGCCAGTTATCGTGACTGCAGTGTGATGTAAAGCATGGAGGCTTTGATGTCAGGTCTTGAACTGTCTCCCTAGCCTGTGGTGTGCTTGAGAAACCTTTTAGCACTCTTCTTTGTGTTCTTCCACTGCCCAGGGAAACATAATTAGTGATACATAACAAACAAAAAAACCCTACAGCCCAACTCTCCAAATTGTCTTTATTTAGTGAAACACTCTTGACGGGAGACCTTGACCTGGAACATGACACTTCCAGAAATTACAGTGCTGAAGGTCAACAGTCATTATTAGTTCCTTCTGGTCTACTAGATGTCATTGCAATTATTGTGCACCCTTCTAACCATCTCACACCCCAGAATTTCCTTCATTTGGAGGGGGAAAATCAACTTCTTGTTTCTTCATTTCTGAAGAAATGGGCATTGCAATTATTGTGCACCCTTCTAACCATCTCACACCCCAGAATTTCCTTCATTTGGAGGGGGAAAATCAACTTCTTGTTTCTTCATTTCTGAAGAAACGGGTGACTCGGTGGCTTTCTCAAAGGACACATGGCAGAAGATGTTGAATAGCTGAGCTTTTAATTGGATGTTAGCTGAGAGTGGAGTGTCAGTCATGGTTTATGCTCAGTATGTTCTCTAATGATGGCAAATTCCAATGAGTATGTACTAGATAAGCCCACTGTTAACACCTTCTAGTTAGAGGCATTTGTAGTAATGGTTGAATATTACCACTGAACATGATGGTAGCACTGAAGTGTGGGAGGAGGCTGGGTTTTGAAGGTAAGACCCATGATCATGGAAAATGGCCCTAGAGCTTGTCTGGCAGCCAATGTATTGCTAATTGAGTAGCATGTGTTGTTTCTAATGTCCGGATCCAATCTTTAATTTCATGGAGCCAGACGCTGTAGCGCTGTAATTTGCTGGAGAGTGTCTCCCACACACTGCTCATGCATAAAGACATCTGCTGCTTGTTTGAAGAGAGCCAATCCATTTCTGTGCCTCTTGTATCTTCCTCCAGGATTTTACATAAAAGAACCAGGAATTGTTCTGTAGGTGTAGAGTAGGGTTTTCTCTCCCAGGATCTGTCGCAGGAGGTGCTGAAGCCAGGTGCTCTAAGGAAAAGTACAGCTGTGGATGAACCACTCAGGGACAACATGTTGTCAAGCCTAGAGTTGTTCTCCCCAGTTCAGCTAAATTTGGCCAGCTGTTTTCATCTCTTGAGTTGTTATAAATGCGGTCATGAGAACAGCTTTGTTGGTATTGTCCGTCCTTTTAGACAGGACCTTTAGCATCTTCTCTATTATTTGGTGATCTTAATTCTCTCATGCTAAATGCTCTAAAAATATTTAGCTAAGTGATATTATCTCCAAATCCTTCCTACTTTGGGCATGTGGGATGAGTTGCATTGTTTTCTTCCCTCTGCAGTAGCATCGATACTGATTTGTAATTTCCTGCAGAGAAGCAGATGTTCCTGACCCTCTGCACAGAAATTCTCGTAATTCATGGCAATGCTGTTTTGGCTATTTAGATACAAACTGTATCTAAAAATCTGTTAAGGCTTCAAATTGAAGTAATGAGAAATGTGTAAAAGTGCCTGCTTTCATCAAGCCTGAATTATGTAACTTACCACATTATGGGTTTTTTCACCTTAACCCCAAAGAGCCACTTTTCTTATTCAGTGTATAATTGTGCAACTATCTCATTCAGAGAACGGTTCCAGGCCCTTGTTTAATGTACATTATCCACTTCCTACAGTGAATTAAAAATGTCTGGTTTCCTCATTGGTATTTGCACAGAGCCTTGATGTGGCATCCAGAAACTGTTCAAATGTTTCAGAACCTGTCTTCACAGCATCCTGTAGCTGGTACTTCCATCTCCTATGTACAGTCAGGAATCAAAGTTCAAAGTGATTCAATGGAATCACCATTCAAAGTGATGGTCAAAATTATGCAGTGTCAGTTTATTCTTGAATGCCCAAATTTATAAGTTTAGGACTTTATTTCTCAAAGTCCTAGCACACAGTCATACACATATGTATCTTATTTAATACACCCAAAGCAGAGCCCCAGTTGACTTTTGTTGCAACTTTGAGTGTTCAATGCAGTAAAAAATGAAGACATCATTGAAAGTATTATCTAAAAGTAGATCTACAAATATTAGAAATTTTCTTTTGTTGTGAAAAATTTGTAAAAGTGGAAGAAAGATAACGGGAAAATAAGAGCTATGTTTACATGTAAAAATGCTCACGCACTCAAGTGTAGACGAAGACAAAGTTGTTTTTTTACCTTGTTGGAAAATTGGGCTGTAGCTGCTTACGTAAAAGTTCATGCACATGTATGTGCTGTCAGTCAGTATTATGTTTTTATAGTCTGGCTGGAGTTGAGAGGAACTCAAGGGCAATTTCCAAAACATACAACTATTGAACAGCAGAGTTTCCTTTCAGTATGTGCAATTAGTTTTTTAGAGCATGTTATTCTATATATAGAACACACTTGCACAGATACATACCTAAGACTTCAGGGAAACCCTGCTTGCATTTCAAAATCTGGCTCCAAACCATGGAAACATTAGAATTTCTTCTGGTAAAAATGTTCCTACATTATTCTCAGTAACATGAAAAAATTTAGAAGAATCTTCCCTGAGAGCCTGCCTTAGCCTGAAATTCTGGATCTGAAAAGATGTAGTGTAAAAGGTGCAAATGTGGTCAAAAAATTTGCATCCAGAAGCATCTCCCTTGACATTCATGCATCTTAAAAGGCAAGGCAGGAGGTTGGGGATCAAGATGCAGGGGAGTTTTTAATTCTCATTACTCTGAGTGGGTGACTGCAGCATTTTTGGCATCTTTAGTATTAGAACACTAGCATATGTTTCCTCTCCTAATTTATGTGACAAAGTCCCTTAAAAGAAACCCATCCAAGTTCCTTTCCAGGCAGTTTTCTCAAAACTAAGGAAGCACATTATTACATGCCTGTCTGTTATGTCTTGTAGCCACAAGTGAGCCAGGCTCTCGCTGGTTTGAGTAGCATCTGAACATGTGGGGCACTGCTGTCTTAGAAAGCAAAGGATGTGAGAAGAAGCTGGCACCAAGAGTTGAACTGACTCGTCCCAGTCAGCAAGAGGGCTTGATCCACTCAAGTTTTGGCACTGGGACTGAAGGCAGAAACTGCCAATGATCTAGGGGGTTGAATACGGTCTCTGACACCAGCGTTGTCTAGCTGGGAGCCATGGCTATTTGGGCTTAAAGACAGTATTGAAACATCTGGTACTGTGTATGACATATGAGAAGTACTTTTGCTTTTCATTTCTGTTGAGTCTGTATTTATAAATATATTGATGATCACTTTTCCTGGAGAAATGATAGACTTAGGATCCAATTAGCATATGGTTGAGAGTGTCACACGTGGACAATGCATGCAAGTAGCTGCTAGAGTTGCTCCCGTGGACTAATGACTAGCAAATTGTGTAGGTCTCCACTCTGACAGGCACCTTAAAGGCAATGGCTTTCTAAATACAATTGGGATGTTCTTCCATTTCTCATGCTCCTGCTCAAGCTATTGTTACAACTCCCAGTCATCTAAAGATCAAGTTGCCTATCAGTCTGACCCACCAAGGGTTTATCAGCACCAAAGCTGCCAGACTTCACTGATTTGCTTGGCTGTTCCTTTATTTGAGGCTGATAAAGTCATTTTACCAAGTCATTTTCAAGGAGCAAAGGATCTGGACTTAAGTTGCAATGAGATATCTTGCACTTCATTTCAGACCACTCTTATAATAATTGACAAAGTGTGGCAGCCCTGGAGTGACTCCTTGTTTTCAAAGCAGCAGGACAGTGTTCTTTATGCTGAAACATCTTTGATGAAAAATTGCTGGATTTTTTTCTTTGTAATTCAAGTGAGGAAAAAATGTGGATTTTTTTTCTGCTTTGAGGTATTCTGGTCTTTCAGTGAAAACCTTACTTTGGGATTTGCTCTCTTTCCTACAAATAGGACAGGCAGAGAAGGAATCTGTGTGTAGAGTTGGAAGACAGAATGATTTTTCTCTCTCCTTATCAAAATTAGGTTTTGTTCCTCACAAAGCAGATAAATTCTCTGAAAAATCTTGATCAAAATAAACAGTGTTTGGTGTCCCCTAGAAGCTATCTTTTGTTTAAATCGATGTTGGATTTTAAACGTAAACACTGAATTGAGGAAGCCTCCCAGGTGGCTAGGTCCTGGAGTGACAAATTTTCTCTCCTTAATCAAAGTGTCACGGGAAGCAGAGGGAAAGCCTTGACTTGTTCCTTACTTTGGTAGTGAAAGGGGCTCTTCTGAAGATGAATACGTGAATGTGCACACAAAAACAAGACATCACAGGCAGAGTGAATTTGCTGGCAGTGTGTGGAAGGGAAAGCAGGAGTCTTCAGTCACTTTACAGCTTTCCTATGAGGTGCTTCCATTGGCAGAGAAAAGCGTGAAGGCACGTTCGCACCTCCTACGGAGGTGACCCTCTAATTGAGTATCACTGGGAAATGTGTCAGACACAGTGAAAATAATTCCTGTGGGTACAAACCCCCTTATGCATGCTGCCTTGGGATTGCTTTTTCTCCTGTTAGGACTTAGCCATAGGCAGTGTGTTTCATTAAAAGCATTCATGGCCTTCCTGCTGCTATTTAGAGGGAGCATCTTCATTTAACCTAAGTTCCTGTTCTATAGAGCAGAGAGCTGCTCCTTTTCCCTCTCTTAGTCCAGATCATCCCTGCAGCCGTCCAGTAACAATGAAGGCAGCTTTTGCATGGCAAAGGAGATCTTTTGACCTTGGAATCCAGTCTTCCACCATTCCAGATTAAAATAGAGAATAAAAGCACCAAGGAGTGCCCCATTTTGGCAGTGGCAGGGTAAACTGCTATCATCTCTGAACAGACAAACTTGTTTCTTGCTCTTGCCTTGGCCCTTGCTCTTAGTTTGAAAATGCACCTGTAGCCTGTCAGCTCCCAACACTGAGTCCTTGTCTGCTGAGAAGGCGGCAGTAGCTCTGCTCAAACAGATAAATGACTTGGGGGAGAAAGACATTTTATATGAAGGTAGTTGGTAAATAAGGTGGGTGATGAATCTTCCTCTTTGTATAGGAGACCTCCAAATACCTGCCTAATTATACTTTCCAAAAAGAGAGCTTTTTGGAATCAGCTCTCTGGGCCCACTCTGCCCAGCAGGTTTTTTAAATTGGACACAAAAAGGCAGAGATGAGCAAAATGAGGAGAATTGCCTCTTCTCTGTTGATTTCCTCACCAGCCATTAGCTGTTTTCTCACCAACGCCTCCGCAAAAAGTGGCAAGAGTGATCAGCATTTCAAGGCTGCTGCTGCTGCTGCCAGCCCCCGAGCTGGGGAGGAGGAGAGCTCCTTCCCCCTCGCACCACAGAGCTGTTGTGTGTCGAGCCCAGTGACTCAGGCCTGAAACGGGGGGAAAATTTAGTCTCCTGTAATAGCACAGAAATTGCAGGGTTAAAAAGGCATTGCTGTATAGCGTAGCTGGTGGCATATGGTGGGAATACTGTATGCGGCACGTTCTGTGCCAGAAAATTATATATACCGCGTACGCAAGTCTTTGTGAACCCTACACCATGTAGTGGATGGGAAGAGGAATTGGGGAAAGATGCAGAAGGGAGCAGGGAATTAGGATGGTCTCATTTACGTGATGGACAGTGTTTTCATCTCTTAATTTGCCTGTGGTCTCTCTAATAGTGAATAAAGGACTGAATTAGACAAATCACTTTCTTTTTTTTTAAATACTGAGTTGCAGAATAAACCATGCTCTCAAGAGCATGCAAGACATCCTTCCTTAATAAGTTGAGAAGGATCTGCTGGCCCAGATAAATGTGCTGTGAGCATGCCTTGTGCTCATTTCAGAATGCATTCCTGAAGTCCTTGAATTCATTAAACCCTAATTAGCAATGAGCATTGATGATTAAAAAAATCTATAATAATAGGCAGACAAGTGTATATTGAGCTGTGAAGGCACCTCTGGGTCTGTCCTACAATTAGCTTTTAGCCAGTTTGATCTTAAAATAATCCTTCTATTTTCTCTGACATCCTAACCTTGCCTTTTGCTTTAGCATTTGACGTCACAGCCTCCAAAGCTGTTGCCTAGAGTTTTGTAGCGGTTACTCTCCACAATAGGTTGTGAGACTTACAGGAGAAATGAAAAGTAAAATTGGAAACAAACAGCAAAGTTAACATCCTGATGCAAAATTGTACTCTATTTGACTGTGTCGAGGGCAAGTATTTGGATTACTCCTTGTCCATTAAAAAGCTTTAATGAAAACAAAATTAAAACTGCTGTGAAAACCCTAAATCATTCTATCTTTGAGATAATTTCCCATGTAAATCACTAGTATCCTAACTGTAGTAATTGGTGATGATATAGCAAAAGAAAAACAGCCAGAAAGACAGAATACCTTCGCGGTCTGGGACTGTTGACTCCAACCAGAACAGAATTGCCATCGTGGTTGGGACTTCGTCGTGGCTGGGACCTCTGAAAGACACAGTCAGAGTAGCCACTTCAAGGATCTGTGATTTTTGTCAACTCCTGGAGGATTTAGCAAATAGTAGTAAAGTGCTTTATTTAATAAATGAATTTATGAGAAATGAAGTATGTGCCGATGTCTAGCTTTAAGACCTTCTCTTTGAAAATGGTCCAGTATGTGGTCCAAACCACTGTACAGCAGGTTTTCAGAAAAAGGAGGTAGCTGTATACTTCTACCACCAATTAAAGCAGTTACAAACTTACTTCTGCACCTTTTCACATAATGGTGAAACTCCTGCTGAATTCATGACACAGAACCAGGTTGTATAGGCATCTAGGCACTTCCACCTAGAGCAGTTTCAGTTGTTTGTACACTTACCAGAATTGTTTCTTGTAGAAACACTGAAAATACCGTTTTTATTTGTAAGAGCCTTCTGAAAGTGCTGAAGAAGTAATTGTTCAGGGACATCAGTTGAGGGAAAGCCAAAAAATCTTTTTGAAAGGTCCAGTACTAATACATGTAAAAATCTTGTAAAACTAAAACCGCTCCTTGCTACTGACTTCAAGGGGAGGACTTTAATGATCTGTACCTTGTCATAAACGCTGTATTATTGCCAGGTGTGGAATTTGAAGCAAAAAGCTGTTTAACCAGCAGGTATATCAGTGCATTTGATGCTTGTCTGTTGTCTTTGCTTTCCAGAACACTTCTGCAGCAGTTGCAGAGACTCCAAGCCATGGTTGCTGGGAAAGTGTCCCGTTCGTGTAAGGCAGCTAGCACACAGACAGGGACCTGTCTTATGGTGAGTGTCCCTAAAGCTGGGAATTGTAGGGGAATGAGAATCCCTTTCCACTGCTCAAAGGCACATCCCTCATTCTGCGAAGCCCCTCACTTGCAAATTCTCAGCTTGGGAAACTTCTCTTCAAAATTTGACAATGAATTTTGAGGTAGGTGAGACTCCTGGCTGATGAAGATTAATGGTTGTGGGAGGGCATTAAATTCTGGAGGAGACTGGGCCCGTGCTTTTGATTGGATGCTGCAGTGATGAAAGAAGGAGCACTGCTCCTCTGAGTAACCTGTTTTACTATTTCCTACAATATTGTATGTGAGAAATGGTGTCTAGAGTTGTTAAATGAAAACGAGGGTGACCTTTGCCCGGTTCTTTTGATACCAGTAAAAATAAACTTGCTCATCCAAATAAAAATATGACTAAGGCTGTAAATCTACCTCTGGCCTATTTCAGTAATAGTAGTCAGGATAAGAAAAGGATTAGAATGAAACTTTTCCTTTTTCCCTCCTTACACTCAGCCAGTAAGTCCCCTTTATACTAGTGCTATAAATAGATGGAAATGATTTTCAAGGCCTAAGTTGTTCTCCTAGTCTGCCAGTCTCTCTGTCACTTCAAAGCAAGACTGGGGCCAGCAGCAGAAATAACCTTGGAAATTCCCGACAGCATCTGTAAAACACACATGGTGGTTGTGTCTGCTTTTCAACTTTGGGAGTAAATAAGGCTACAGGCCAAAATGGTGGCAGACATTGAAAACAAACTCCAGCGTTGAAATCTGCCCTTTAAAACACTGAATTGTTATTGTATATGTGCCTTTGCTAAGACACACTGTATGTAGTGATGAAAATACTTTGAAAAAGTATCAGATCTGCTTTGTGTTGATTCTTAGTTTTGACGGGCACCTATGGGCCAAGAGCTAGTGCACTTACCTCTTCTGCATCCTCCCTTTGCCAGATGGTGGTGCTGTGCTTTGCAGTAGTTTTTGGCAGCTTCTCTCAGAGCTATGGGCCATATCCTTCTGCTACAAAGATGGTGTTGCCCAGGCAGCATTCCTCACCAGAGTCCTACACAGATTCCATTGGTAAGTGACAACTATTCCAGTCTTGCTCCCTGCTTGGTTGTGCTTCGGCACTTGTTCTCCACCCCCATCCCTAACCCCCTCCTCAAGCACCTCTTGCTTTTCTGCTCCTTAGCAGACCATTCCTTGATATACCTGTGTCTTTCAAAGGATAGCTTGGCAAGCTGTTCTGATGGCGGAAGACTTCATAGACATGGGCAAAGCCTTTCCCCTTGGCTTGGTACTTCTGTTTAAAGCAGTTTTGTTTCTGTTTGTGGAACTAAAGCTAATGGTCTGTAAAAGGTAGCAGGATTTCTACTCGGTAGCAAATGTTCATACTGTTAAAATGTGCAACTGATACCAGCTGGTGTGTCCTTTGCCGGTATCAACAAAGAGTCCAAGGACTGAGTGGGAAACATAGTATTATATACCCGTAATGAACCAGTTGCTTTCAATGTATATTATCAAAGTGATTGTTTCATTTTGTTCTTGTTTTGTGAATAATTCAGAGCTTTTTGATCCCTACCTGGACCATTGCTGTGGTATCTTTCCTCAGCTATCAAATTATCAGTTCAATCACGATGGAAGGAAAAGACCTTTGCAGCTTTAGTTCTGCTCTGACAGTTTCCACTTCCTGAAATGACCTGGGCTGTTCTCCAAGCTGCCTATTTCTCATCTCTTTTTGCCTTGTCTTTGTATGCAGTGAGGTCAAGGAGTCTGCTAATTTATGAAGAGCCTCACCAACTGGAGGAGTCGTCAAGCCCGATCTCCTTTGCAGATCACAATGACAGGCAAGCAGACACCTCCAAGTACACAGCGCTGTCACTGGAAGCCATGCCAGGGACACAGCAGGATGATATCATGCAGTTCACAATAGCCAACGAGACGAGGCTAGAGAAATCGGTGCTGCTGGGCCTGCAGCAGCACAGGTGAGTGCAGGGTGGGCTGCTTGTCATACGGCTGTTCAGCGTCACTGTCATTTGTGCCTGGAGGCCCAGGAGTAAGACTAGGGGCTCAGCTGTGCTGGGCACTGTGAAACACGAAGTAAGAGTTTGGTCTCTATCTGGAGAGCTTATAGGCAAAGTTATTGTTACTCTGGAGAAGTGGTTGCAATAATATTGTAGTAACACAGCTACCAAACTCAGTGCTTCTGCCAGAAACCTAACCCCTGTAAGCCTGTTAGTTGTGGCTACCCACTTCTTTAAGCACTTACTTCTGTGTCTCCTAAAGGAATAAGCTTTTGCCAGTTGGGTGGAAGTGTGAGGCTGTGACTCACTGGGCTTTCTATGAGGTTAGGGTGTGAAGAGCTGGAGCTTCTTGCAGCAGTGATCTTACTAAAGCATTGCTGTGGAAAGTTTGCAGGACTCAGTCCTAGGAGACAGACCTGTAAAGTTATCTGAACTACTTAACACAGAGCTCCTTCATAATAATTTTTTTTTTTCAGCATAAATGTAAGTTTTTGGGACCTTTGCAAAGAGAGAGATTTATGTAAGTTTTTGGGGCCTTTGCAAAGAGATTCACTGGTTTAAATATGTATGTGCAGTTTTCTTTCCACTCTACCTTTTCTTGTCCTGCCACTGTCCTGTTGGCCCAGGTCTTGTTCTCTGCTAACAAGCAGTAGCAAGCACACCAAACAGTGAAGAGAGGGATTTTGTTTGGAAGCATGCCATCCTGAGGGCTAGGGTGAGCCATATCAACCCAAGCATGCCTTCTGAGCACTTGTGTCAAAGTTATATCTAGAGCCAAAGAGATGACTAATTCAGTGTGTTACCGTACTCCAGCTGACAAGTACCTGGTAAATACTGAGTGCCTTTTTAGCATTAGCCAATTCAAGCAGGATATGCGCTTTTAAAAATGACTATTAGCGTTAACCTTTGTTGTTATGGTTTTTTTGTTCCCTGCAGAGTCAACTCCGAACTAGAAGGAAATGAAACACTGAAGATAATTGAAATAGATAGAAGAGTCAATGCCACCTCTTAAAAATAAAAAAGGCCTTTTTTCTTGGCTTCCCTCCTTCCCACATATTTTCAGCCAAAGTCCCCCTGACTTGTCATCCTCAGTGAACCAAAGCACAAAAGAGAGGGAGTTCAACTTCTGCATTGACTGGTGAGGCTGTGACTGCAGATAGGATCTCTTGTCTCTGTAACTCCCTTCCTCACTTCACACATAGTTCCTGCCTTTGCTTTTATTCCTTTCCTGTCTGATACTGCAAGGGCAGGACTGAATTATGATGGCAGATGATGCCAGCAGTGTGTCGGTGACTGGTGGGTGTATGTGCGTGCATGCACACATCCTAATCTGAGCACAAAGACGTTCTGTAGAAGAGTGGAATATGCAAAACTGATGGGGGCATGTGGGTGATAGGTTTCTTGGGAGAGGGAATTGAGAGAAAGAGGAGATGTAGCATAATACTGCTCAGAATCTAGCCACAGCTCTGTGCCTACTGGTCTACAGCACTTGAGCCTTTTGGGGGGATTGAGAAGCACGTTGTGTAGTCTGCTTCTGAAGGGACAAGAATGGGCCCTGATACTGTTGAGTTAACAGCACAGGCAGGAGAGGGGTGGGCAATGATGCTGCTGAATTGTCCTCCCCTAGCTCTTTCTCTCTTCTCCCTTCCAGCCCCTTTATCATTTAGTGGGGTAGGTTTCTCTCTGGGTTGAAAGCAGTCCTAGTAGGCTTCCCTACTGCTTCCACCCTTGTGGAATTCAAGCAAAGATCAGTCTCTGTCTTGTCACACTTTGTCTGTGTGGGAGAATTACACTAGTTTAACTAAATCTGTTGAGAAAGCAGGTTTTGTTAAATTTATGCAATGTTTTGGGTGGATGTCCTTTAGTCTGCTTAAGGCTAATCTGTTTAGCTTAAATCAGTTCCTTCCCAATAAACTAAATCAGTGTAAGGCTTTTAAACCAGAAGTGCCTCCTGCGAGGACCATATGGATTTAATTTATTGGCTTCTAGATGCATTGATGGAATTTCTTACGTAGACCCGGTCTCAGATTGTCCTGTGTTTTCCTTTCCTTGCCATCTTCCTGTTACTGTTGTAAATAGTATTTATTAGCTTTGCAAAATTTCGTTCAAGCAGTCGCAATGAAGAGAATTGAGCTTCCCTAACCTTGCAAGTGGTCTGGGCAGACTCTGAAATCGGACATACAAATATCACTGAACACCCATTCCTTCCCCCACAAACTTGAATTGCCCTAAAATAAAGCCATGGGTCTTATCTTCCTCTTACCTCCTTTTCCAGAGATGTGATCTTAGACCAACTGCTTAGCGGAAAAGATAAGGGGTATAGGTAGCCCCAGCTAGGCACACTTCAGGCCTGGAGGTGGTAGATGCTATTAATGTATTAATATATGTATTTGTTTCTGTTATTAATGTATTAATGTATGGCAAGACAGCTCCTGACCTGAGGAATGAAGTATGTAGGCAGCAGACAAGGCAAAAGAGGGATGAGATGGGCACATAGGCAGGTGAAGCGACTGGCCCAAGTTCAGTGGAAAAGCCAAGAGCAGTATTCAGGTCTGATCCTGGTCCAGTGCTCTTTTCCCTCCTTGTCCCATGTAGCTGTTGCCTTTAAGGGTTTTCCGTCTCTCGGTACCCTGGTCACGCCTTTGCCTGAGCTGTGCTTCTTGCAATTTGTCCTTGGAGTGGCACAGTCGAACCTACCCCAGGATTTGAGCAGGGGCTTGTCTGGTTACTACAGAAGGGCACTCAGACTCCATTGAGGATGGATTTAATGTGAAAAATCCTGATTCAGCAGGCTAGCATATAGCTACTTTACCGTTTACCAGAATAAGTCAATTTAAAAAAAGAATAAACAATTTTGAAGCTCTCTTTTCTTTTTTTTCTAATGATAAATAAGGGAAAAACTAATGTAGCCTTACAAGTAATTTTTTACCATGTACAGCAGATATTTCCTGCAAGTATTCTATTTTGTAAAATACTGGATTTGTATTTTATTACAGCAGCTGCCACACCAGCTCCTTTCTTGTTCTTCATTCTCCTTAGACTTTCTTCCTTTGATATCCTATTTTGCCACCCTCAGGCCTGACTCAAAACTCTGTGAAATTAATGGAAAGAATTTGGTTACAGCAGGCTGTGGATCAGTCCCCACTGTGCCATTTTAAGAAGGTGTTTCACATTAGTGACAGTGAAACATGTACCTGAGTCCATGAAGTTGTAATGAGTTTTGGTGTACAGACATGCTTTCTAGGTAATGCCCTATTCTTCTATGCAAGTGCCTTTTTATTATTTTACATGTGGTGGCAATGAGAGGAGGAATGCCGTTGTAGTCTATTTGGCAAGTGTTCCCTTCTTCTTGGCATGGGTCAGTCTCCTCCCTAAAGCCTCTTGCCCTTCACGGTGATCCTGCTGGGTCCTCTGCATCATTCCAGTATCCACCAGTGACTTTTGTATGGTTTTTTTTGAGCAATGATTTAAGGCTTCACGTGAATAATGAACACTGGTGGGTGCCCCTGAGGGTGCCACAAGGGATGGCTGCATTGCTTAGCCACATGAGGTCACCAAAGTGACAGGAGAAGGCTGGGACTGACCCTTCCACTACCGTATGGCTGGTCAGCGTAAGTGGGCAAGGCCATAGTTTAGAAAATTCCTTAAGTGGTCTTTTTTTTCAGAGCACCCATGGTTTGCCACCTCTGAGGGCAACTGTATGGTTAAGTCTTCTGCAAAAGAGGCCCCAGGCTGTTGAGCACAACACTGCTCTTACTAGTCTTGCAGTTCACACTGTGCATAAGTAGGAGGCCGCTCCGCCTGCGCTCATGCCCATTATCAGTTAAATGCATCACCTGCCGTTGCAGATACAGCTGACTTCACTGTATTAAAACAAAAGTTGAATTATTTCTCGATACTTAAAGGACAGATAATTTTGCAAAACCCAAACAACCCCCCTTCTCCGAAACCTACTGCACTAGTCACCATAAAGCTTTGCCATTTTGTTTGCTTAATTTGGGCATGTCAGTTCAAATCTGATTGGGAGATAGTCATGTTTTCATCTGGAGCATTTTAAACTGGCCATGGTTTGGGTCAGGCCTCTGAACTGAATCATCCAAGCCAGTATGGGCAATACCAATTTTCTTGTAACTGTTTGATAGTCTATTGCTATAATCTTAATTTGTGTAATCTTATAAATTATTTTTAGGTACTCTTTTGGGGAATCTCTTGACCTAGCACACACATTGCTTGGGGTTTTATTATATTAAATATTACTTCTTTATAATAAGGAAAACCTTTGCTTTACTTTGGTATGTTTGTGATCATTTTTCTTCAGGGGCCTTAATAGAAGAGGTTTCTCTGCTAGATACTAAGGGCCAAAGAATCTCCTGTCATCACCTACCCACAGGCTGTTATGCGACAAGGACCTCACTATCTCCAGAGGTAGTTTATGCCCGGGTTACGTACCTGGCAGGGGGACAGAGGAGGCAGGACACGTGCAGTTGCACTGCCAGCCTCAGCAGTCCAGGGGTGAGCCAAGTGTGAATGTTGATGCACTGCAGACCACGTGGAGAGGCAGCTGTATGTGCTCTGCGTTAAGGGCATAGGGAAGGAGTAGTAAGGCATATTCAGGGAGGATGCCAGTATAAGTGCTTTTAATTAGCTCGGCTATATTACTTGAGGTCTTAGCCTTCTGCCAGTATACTTTTACCAGTGATCAGTGACTTGGTGCTGTAGAATAATGTGTGTGTATGGACAGGGTAGGCAAAGAACTTACGTGCTACTTAATTTCCATTTCCACTAGAGGACTTAAGTGATCCTTAGAGTCTTCAGCTGTAACATTATGCTGCTTGTCAGCACCATTTTACACACGCTAGCAAACTTACCTTTTGGCCCATAGCTTTAAAGCCTGTCTAGATCTGTCAGGTCTTTGCTTCTAGGGAGGTAAGCTACGAAGGAATGTAGGGCATTATTTTTATATATATATATATTTAAAAAGTATCAAGCACAGGGCATGTGACAGTTCTAACCTTGTTACCAGTGTGTAGATAATGTTGGGTTTTTTTTTCCCAGGCTATTTATAGTTCTTTGCTGCATTTCTCTTATTTCATCCGTACCATTCAATATTTTTCAGCAGCACAGACTAATAATGGATTAGACTGAGGTTCTTAGGCCAGATCCCAGCTGATACAACGCAGCACGCTTCTCACTTACCGCTTTTGGAGGCTGCAGGTCTGATTTATACTGGGAGGGGACCTCTTCCATATCTTTCTGTGTAACAATGTGTCTCAATGTATTCTTGATTTTTGTAATGTAGAGCTGAAAATGAATATAAAAACTTTTCTTCTTTGGTTTTTTTCCTTGCTAAAAAAACCAACCCACCTCTCCACTCCCATCCCCCCAAACTATCAGCGCTGAATTCTGTCTAGACGCATTTAGGATGTAGGTCAAGTAAATGAATGATACTAATTGCTACGTTGGGAGGGATTTCCACTGAGTATTTGGGCTCTAGATTCTAGCTAATGCCAAGAGGCCACTGTACAAAACCCACGCAGCGAAGAACAGAAGTATATGGAGTATTTTTATACTCTTGGTGACTAAAATATTTCTTTCTCAAGTCACTAATTAGAAAGGGAACATTTTGTATTCTGAAGGTGAAATGGTAGGTCAGTACTTTGTAACTACAAAAGTTATACTCGCCTATATAAGTAGTGTAGTGCTATGATGTGTTGCTGCTTTGCGCGTAGTGTTAAGGATGAACAACTTTGGGGTTGCAAAGATGAATGAACTGGCTTACGTGTAAAGGTCTTTACAAATAAAATGTAAGGATTCAATCAATGGGCCAGGATATTGTCGCTTTCTCACGGCCAATAAAATGACAGAGGGCATTCAGGGATATGTTGAGGGTGTGATCTCAGTTACTACTGCATTGCTTAGGTGATCAGCATCCATTGGAGACTCCAGGATTGAGAGGGAAATTGCCATTTGTTTTTGTGGTTTTCATGTCAGGCCTTTTTCCGCTTGCCAATGTAT